AATAGTGTACTTTATTAAGTTCTGAAAATAAAACAAACATTTCAGTTCAAACTACAGGCTTCGAACAGTTAAAAGTGTCAAAACAATAAACAAAGTAAATGGAAAGAAAAAACACAAACTGAGGTCAGCGGGTGAAGTGTCGCATCAGAGCTTCACGCACATCACTGCCCTCCTCTGCAACTTCCTGCATATTTGCAACCACTGGTTCATCAGCAGGTGCGTCACATTCTGTATATTCCTCCCCATGGCTCTCACAGATATTGTGAAGCACACAACAGGTCAGCACCATGTGTTTAAGAAGCTCTACATCACTGTCGTTTCTCTTCAGAAGACATCGCCACCTACCCTTTAGCCTCCCAAATGCATTTTCGACCACAACTCTGGCTGTGGACGTTTTCCTGTTGTACGCCTGTTGTTCAGCAGTGAGACGACCGTTGTCAGAAAATGGTTTTAGGAGCCAGTTCTGCAGAGGATAGGCAGAGTCCCCGAGCACATAAAAGCCTACATTTACTCCCTCAATGTTCTTGGTACTAGTTGGGTGCAGTTGTCCATGAGCAACCAAGTCCCAAAATGTGGACAATCGCAGCACACGGGCATCATGCAAGCTACCTGGCTGACCTGCATTAACATTCCAGAACATGCCTCTGCCATCCACAATGCCCTGGAGGATTATGGAATGCCAACCTTTCCTATTGAAGTAGTCTGTGTGGAATCCCTGTGGTGCGATTATTGGGATATGGGAACCATCGATGGCACCCACACACTGAGGAACCCCCCACCTGGTCTCAAAATAGTCAGCCATTTCCTGTAGCTTTTGCAGAGTTGGAAAAGCAATAACCTCGGCAAGCAAGAGTTTACAGACAGCCTTACAGAAGTCCTGCACACAGCGGCACACAGAGGTCGTGCTGACACCAAAAAGAAGCCCGATGCTCCTGTATTCACTGTTAGTTGCAAGCTTCCACAGTGCAACTGCAACTCTTTTCCTGAGCGGCACGCAGGCTCTGAAGTTGGTGTTCCTCTTCTGCATGGCTGGACGGAGCTTGGAACAAAGATATGAAAAGGTCTCTTCTGACATTCTGAAATGAGCTATCCAATCTGACGGAGTGAAGTTTGGCATGGTCACATCCCAGAAGGCGCTGGCACGGCTGAAGGCCCACACAGTTGGTTGCCGTCGCTGATTCAAAAGAGCCAACTAAAAAAAAAAAACAGTCATAACACAGTAAAAGTAAAAAGAATAGTGCTGTGAAAAAGATTGAAACAGTATGGTTATAGACATAAAGTTCACATCAATAGAATTTGTTTAAGGTTAAAATAACAGCTGTTCTTTATGGCACTACCAGTGACTGGTTATGTTTTGTTCACTTTATAAAATGCACAAATGTGGTATTGCTTGTAATTACCTATATAATTAATTATAATAATTTCAGTACAGCTGCACAACTTATCTATGACATGCCCAGGAAGTAAAGAGTGAAGGATTCAGGCCCTCCTGTTGACTAGCATCACCATGAGTGCAGAAGCTGTTTGAAACTTAGTTAGGTGTTGGCCTTTCATGTTTAGCATGTCTTAAATGACCAATATACAACCAAACCATTTGATTTTGGTGCTTTTTTTGTTTTGTTTTTTGATAGTTGCCCTAGACACCCCTTCAGAGATTATAACGACATGTATTACAGCATTAGAAGTTACTTACCACCTGGCGCCTCCGTCTTTGTCTCAACAGTAGAAAGTTATGCCTCGTGTCCGATATTAATTTCAGAAAGCGTCGTCGCCTTTCAGCTGCCCTCCTCCTCGATGCGCACAGCATAGCTCTAAACGCTATCGTGATGTGGGTGTAAAGAATATACCAAACACCAAGAACAGAAAGAACGCGCTGGTGACTGGACTCCATTGTTGTTGTGTTTTGGCGCGATCTCGTCGCGCTGTGTGACGTTAAGGCACACATCGCGCGTGACGCATTACGCTACCCCGCCTAGTTACTGGAGCCTGGAATGTGATAGAAAAGCTTGCCAGAAAACTTCTAGACCCATACCGGTACATACCGGTCCATAATACCCAGACCTGACCGTCCCAGACCAGGCGATGGAAAAGAGCTATAAAAATCATCTAAAAACTCACCTTTTCATCCAGGCGTTCCCTCCCTAAATGTTTCAGAATGATGGCTTTGTTCGGGTTCACACCTTCACTTTGTTTATACTCATGATTTTATTTTCTACTTTATCACTGCTATTGTTTTTCTGATGTTTTTATTGGTTAGAGGTATTTGCCCTGATCTTTAACATGTTGTACAGCGCTTTGTGATTTATATCTGTGAAAGGCGCTTTATAAATAAACTTTTACTTACTTACTTACTTACCTATGGACTCGCGGTGATGGTAAAATAAAACATTATCTGCCTTACATCTTCCACACAATAGTCTATTGCTGATTGAGTTTATTTTTTATTTACAGGTAAAACTTTGCCACAGACATAGGTGTTGGGGGAGGCAAGAGAAACCCCAAAACATTATTTTTGTGTTTCCTGTTTTTTTTTTTTTTTTTTTTTTTGAAAATAAAGATATATTTTGAGGAAATAAGGACTAATAATTTAAAAATGTATGTAAAATGCTGGAGGTAGACAAAAGTTTTTGTTGTTGTGCAGCAGTTTAACATTTATGGTATTTTTACAAATAACACAGAGTTGTGCTTTAGAACACTTTGTTAGAGCATCAAACAAAAATATATCAAAAACAAACTGATGTAAAATATTAAATATATACAATTATTTACAATCATCTTGGAATAAAACCAGTGTAATTACCATTGGGGTCAGGGAATTTTCCCCTTATCCTCCAGACCACACAGCTTGGGATTACTACTCTGCGCCCTCCACCAAGTTTTCCATGCTGCCATGCTACAAATTGTCTGTAAGCTGCATGGTGGAACTGTCTGTTGTCCTCACCAGGGTCCGTGTCATCATAAACCGCTCGAAACTCATTCCACAATGTTCTGGCCAGGCGAAGAACACTATTTTGCAGAATAAACTCCTCCATGTGTGTTACAGTTGAAATACATGTCTGGGGAGGCTGTTGGCAGCATTTCTTTTCCAGATCAGTTGGCATCTCTGCAGTGGGAGCATACACACCATGAAGGTTGATTGGATGTTGGAGGTGTTGTGGCAGGTGGACCAGAGAGGGCAAGTACATCAAAGAGAACACCAGGGTCTCTGTCCAGCACCATGGTAAGGGCGTCAATAGCCTGCTGAGGGTTCAGGTTCTTTATGCGTTGCTACAAAAGTGGAAAGAGAAACTCGAGGAATATCTTCATCTCCAAGGTCCACAGCTGAGTGTCTCGCACTTCTTCGGCCTCTAGATGCACCACGGCATCTGGATGCACCACGGCTTTGAGATGATGGTGGGCATCTCCTTTTTGCACCACGTCTTGAGGATGCAATGGGAGGTTCAAACTCTTCCTCAGAGGATTCCTCAATCACTGAACTCTAATTTGTATTAGAATAAAAAAAATTATACTAATATAAAAAGTACTCTTGCATATTAATCAATTTTGACACAGATCAGGTTTACATCTAGTCCAAATTTGGGCTAAACCAACAATAAACAGAAACCCTATGAAAACAACCATGATTATAGGAGGACTACACAGAATGCAGTGTTTATTCGTGATTTCTACATAAATTATTTATATGCTTTGAAATATTCATCCCATCTTGAATGGCAAAGCAATTAAAAATAAGCTAATTACTCGTAATAAAATGCTAACAATTTGATAGGATTCATTTTATGTACAATATAGATTGTCAACTGTTACTGGTATTTTAAAATATATTTATAGATATTCTTCATAAAATGCCTTTTGTAAACAGTAAGTGTTTAATGTGCTGGTTAAAAACAACTTTCTTACCTCAGATTACTCCATTGCTAACACTAGCTCAGCACTATTATGAAGAAGCAATGCTCTAGTGTTGACTCGGCTTTTCCTGCGCGTGCACATTAGGAGGCGTGGATTTCAATTCTTTCAGGAAAGGCGGGGGAGTGTGCAACAGCCGTTCGAATTTAAGTCTCCTCCTCACCCTGCCGGTGTCATCTTATGGACCCTGCCTTTAACTTGTCATGTTTTAATTGTTTGGAAAATAAATTCTTACTTTTTAAAACCCTGACTCTTTCCTTGAATCAAAACAAAGTGTTTACAATCCCTGACTAAACAACGAATCCTAGAATCTTCTGATTTAACCTGCACAGTGGTAACAAGGCATGATGGATCCATGTTCTCATTCTGTTTACGCCAAATTCTGACTCTACCATCTGAATGTCTCAGCAGAAATGGAGACTCATCAGACCAGGCAACATTTTTCCAGTCTTCAACCGTCCAGTTTTTGTGAGCCGGTACAAATTGTAGCCTCTTTTTCTTATTTGTAGTGGAGATGAGTGGTACCCGGTGGGGTCTTCTGCTGTTGTAGCCCATCTGCCTCAAGGTTGTGCGTGTTGTGTCTTCACAAATGCTTTGCTGCGTTCCTCGGTTGTAACGAGTGGTTATTTCAGTCAAAGTTGCTCTTCTATCAGCTTGAATCAGTCGGCCCATTCTCCTCTGACCTCTAGCATCAACAAGGCATTTGGCCCACAGGACTGCCGCATACTGGATGTTTTTCCCTTTTCACGCCATTCTTTGTAAACCCTAGAAGTGGTTGTGGGTGAAAATCCCAGTAACTGAGCAGATTGTGAAATACTCAGACCGGCCCGTCTGGCACCAACAACCATGCCACGCTCAAAATAGCTTAAATCACCTTTCTTTCCCATTCTGACCTTCAGTTTGGAGTTCAGGAGATGGTGTTGACCAGGACCACGCCCCTAATTGCACTGATGTAACTGCCATGTGATTGGTTGATTAGAAAATTGCATTAAGGAGAAGTTGAACAAGTGTTCTTAGTAATCCTTTAGGTGAGAGTAAGTGTGAATGTGAAGTTCCATCGAACGGTAAGACATATGTTTCTGTGTTTCCTACAGATGTTCAACAGCTGGTGCTGGTTAAAGAAGAAGCTCCTGAGGAACAGAGTGCAGGTGAGGACCAGAAAGACTCAGAACACATCCACATTAAGGAGGAACAAGAAGAAAACTGGACCAGTCTGGAGGGAGAGCAACTCCATTTGAAGGAGAAAACAGATGCTGCCAGGTTTCCATTCACATTGGCTTCTATAAAGAGTGAGGATGATGAAGAGAAACCTCTGTTCTCACAGCTTCATCAGCAGCAAGTAGAAGACAAAGAAGTTCCAACCAGCAGCTCAGCTCACCAGATGACAGCAGAAACTGGTGGAAGAGAAGAAACTAGCAGGAACCAAGATCTGAACCCTCATGAACAGACATCTGATTCTTCAGAAACTGAAATGAGTGGAGATGATGAAGAAGATGATGATGTGAATCTAGACTCTGAGCTGTCAGACTCTGGGTCTGAAACTGGGGAAGAAGACAGTGACTGGACTGAAAGCAGGTCTTCTAAGGCACATGTTAGGACTGTCAACAAGTCCTTTAGCTGCCCTGAGTGTGGTAAACAGTTTCTCCACAAGAGGTCTCTCCAGAAACATGTGAGCGTGTCAGGTCATTCAGCAATAAGGTCTTCAAGCTGTTTGGTCAAAAAGAAATGTGTTAGAGTGAAGCAAAATGTAGACTCATGCAAGACAGTCCAGAAAGAACTAAAATCATTTAGTTGTGATGTCTGTGGGAAAATATTTAGTGCAATGTGTAATTTAAACAGGCACATGAGAGTCCACACAGGAGAAAAACCTTTTGTCTGTGAGACTTGTGATCAAAGATTTGCCTATAAACAAGTCTTAGACGTTCACATGAAAGTCCACACAGGAGAAAAACCTTTTGCCTGTGAGACCTGTGGTAAAAGATTTCGCAAAAAGGTAGCTTTAAACAGTCACATGAAAGTCCACACAGGAGAAAAACCTTTTGCCTGTGAGACCTGTGGTCGAAGATTTTCCCATAAACAAGCCTTAGACGTTCACATGAAAGTCCACACAGGAGAAAAACCTTTTGCCTGTGAGACCTGTGGTCGAAGATTTGCCCATAAACAAGCCTTAGACGTTCACAGGAAAGTCCACACAGGAGAAAAACCTTTTGCCTGTGAGCTCTGTGGTCGAAAATTTAGCCGAAAGGCAGCTTTAAACGTTCACACGAGAGTCCACAAAGGAGAAAAACCTTTTGTCTGTGAGACCTGTGGTCAAAGATTTGACTATAAAGCAGCTTTAAATGATCATGTAAGAATCCACACAGGAGAAAAGCCTTTTGTCTGTGAGACCTGTGGTAAAAGATTTAGCCGAAAGGCAACTTTAAACATTCACATGAGAGTCCACACAGGAGAAAAACCCTTTGCCTGTAAGACCTGTGCTCGAAGATTTGCCTATAAACAAGACTTAGGCATTCACATGAAAGTTCACACAGGAGAAAATCCTTTTGCCTGTGAGCTCTGTGGTCGAAGATTTTGCCGAAAGGCAGCTTTAAAGGTTCACATGAGAGTCCACAAGGGAGAAAAACCTTTTGTCTGTGAGACCTGTGGTCAAGGATTTGACTATAAAGCAGCTTTAAACAATCACGTGAGAGTCCACACAGGAGAAAAACCTTTTGCCTGTGAGACCTGTGATCGAAGATTTAGCCGAAAGGCAACTTTAAACATGCACTTGAGAGTCCACACAGGAGAAAAACCTTTTCCTTGTAAGCTCTGTGGTAAAAGATTTGGCTATAAGACTGCTTTAAACAGGCACGTGAGAGTCCACACTAGAGCCCTGCACTGAAGCCCTAGGCCCTGGGGCCGGGCTTCGGGCCAACGACTGTGTAATTACCTCGGACACGGGCCCGGTGCCTTTATTTTTAATCGAATTCATTAAAAAAATTTAAACACTTAAACCAGGGGTCGGCAACCTGTTCCCATCAAAGAGCCATTATTACCCGTTTCCCACAGTAAAGAAAACACTGGGAGCCACAGCAGCCGCGGCGTTGTGGGCGGGGCCTACCCTCGGACAGCAGAGCGCTGCTCACAACAGGTGACAGCAGCCAGTACCGGTCGCTCGTGTACGTCAAAGTTATCTTTCATAAGAAGATAATCAATAAAACGATATCTATAAAATGGATCCAGAAGTTGTAGCCCGTCTCTGCCTACAATATTTAGATATTTTTCACCCTGTTGGTGGTTTTACTGAGCAGGTGCCACTTTTGTCATACGTTTCTTTTTAAAACATGTTTAGACTGTTCAGAATACAAATCCAGGCTCTGTCACGTTTGATTGTTGTAATTAAACTTTGTAGGTGGGGAAGGTCAGAAAAGGATCCGATCGTTTTGTTTTTCCCTCATTTACAGTGACGGAGATAACGGCGCAGTGCGCCTGGCTCTGGTGTTTATCAAGTTAAATTTTATCTATTTTCACAAGAAAACAGAACAGGTAAAAGCAGGGCTTGTGTTGACCGGACAGTTCCCGTATTTGACCATTTATTTTGACAGAGAAAGAATAGAAAGAATTACCCCGACGCATGCAGACGAACTGACATTTTATTCATTTCGCAAATCACAGATGTAGCTAAATCACCCAAGAAAAGATTCCCATCTGAACATCTGAGCTGGACACTGCTCAGTGCAGCTCGCTGTCAGCGTCTACTACATAAGGTACACAGCGAGCTGAAGATGTGGAGAGGGTCTTGGAGCGCGTCGCAGAACCAGAGCGCATGCGGGAAGATTCCTCCGACTGAATTCAGTCGGAGGAATCTTCCCGCTGATCTGAATCTGATGCGGCTCTGTGTGCTTGTAAAATAATGAATAGATATTTAAATAAAATGCTTTATATTTTACTGAATTAATTTTATATCTGTAAGTCAATTCTATGTAAAGATTTTCTGCGTAAACCTGAACAGGCCCAACCCAGTCTTACTGTGAGACCGGGTTGACGGGTCACGCTTGTGCGTAATCATAGGTGCTTTCTGAGCTAAAGAGGATGTGAGATTCTGGGCTTCTCAGACAACTCCTGGATGTGTCGCCACATTGGAGACAGGAACAAGCGCTATTCAGCCAACGTTTAATCAGGGAACATTTTCTAAGTGACAAGTCTCTCTGAGAGACAGGGTTTGGAAAACACTCGCTTCAGTGGGAGGAACCTTCCCGCATGCGCTCTAGTTTTGCAACACGCTCCAAGCCCATCTCCACATCTTCAGCTCGCTGTGCACATATGCGCTGACAGTGAGCTGCGCTGAGCAGTGTCCAGCTCAGATGTTCAGATGGGAATCTTTTCTTGGGTGATTTAGCTACATCTGCGATGTGGGTAGAATAAAATGTCAGTTCGTCTGCATGCGTCGGGGTAATTCTTTCTATTCTTTCTCCGTCAAAATAAACGGTCAAATACGGGAACTGTCCGGTCAACACAAGCCCTGCTTTTAACTGTTCTGTTTTCTTGTGAAAATTGTTGGAAAGAGATAAAATTTAACTAGATTACCACCAGAGCCGCACTGAGCTGTTATCTCCGTGACGGTAAATGAGGGAAAAACAAATTGATCGGATCCTGCACGTCTTTTAACACATTGGTCAGGATTGACACACTTTGTTTTCATTTAGTTGGTTAAAAAAAAAGTCGGGCTCGGGTCGGGCCAGAGAATCCTGAAAACCTTTTCGGGCCGGGTCGGGCTGGGGCTCCACCCCCTCGGGCCGGGCCGGACACGGGCTCAGATTTTAGGCCCGTGCAGGGCTCTAGTCCACACTAGAGAAAAGCCTGTTTTCCTGTGAGACATGTGGTCGAAGATTTAGAGACAAGACAGACTTAAACTGTCACATTACACTTCTCACATGACAATGAATTATTTTGAAGGTGTTTTTGATGGGAAAAAACTTCCATCGGTGAGAGCAGGGGAGTGGAGGTGGAGGAGAATGTGTGTTTGTGTGTGTGTCTAGGGGCGTAGCAAGCTTTTGTAAAGTGTGTGTAAGAGCCAATTAGTTGCTAATTCATTTATGTTTATGTATTTAGCAGGCGCTTTTGTCCAAAGCGACTTACAATTGATAATCGGCATGTTGCCCTTGAGGCTAACAACAACAATAACAACAACAACTTGACATCAGTGACTACGTTTACATGCAGCCAATATCCGGGTTATGATCGGGTTAAGGTCGGCATTCGGGTTTCTGAGTTGATCAGAATAACCCGTTTACAAGCACAAATAGAAAGAGTTACCCCTAACTTGCACAACCCGATGTAAATGCGGACGTTGGGGTAGTGTCAGGACGTATGGACTACGTCCAGACGCAATATGCGTCATTTCCGGTTCTTCTCGTTCCGGTATCCGTGAAAACAACAACATTTTTCCCAGTTCGGAAGAGATAGCGACCGCTTTTGTTTGCGCTTTAGTTTCCTCATCACTCCAAAAGTGTGGTGCTGTGCTGCGACTCGCCATGTTGCTCCCAACTTGTTGTTTACTTCTGGAGTTCTGGCGCATACAAGACGTCTCGCTACTCAAAAGACCAAGATTCCTTGCGAACAGAGCATGCGCAGAACACACGCTTTGATGGGGATATCCCGGTATGCGTTTACACGACCAAACATTCGGGTTAGAAAAGGGTTACCCCAGGTGTAGTAACCGGGTTTTTAAAAACCCGGTTATGAGCATATCCGAGTTTTTGGCGGTGTTTACATGGCCGTGCGGAACCGGGTTATTGTGAATATTCGGGTTTTAAAAGGGTTACTGGCTGCATGTAAACACACTGAGTCATGGAGAGGAGGGAACAAGGAGTGGACGGTAGAGAAGGGGGACGGGTGCAGGGAGGGTGCTAGTTTACAAGAGGCTCTCTGAAGTGCAGGGTCTTCAGGAGTTTCTTGAAAATTGAAAAGGAAGCCCCTGTTCTGGTAGTGCTTGGTAGGTAATTCCACATTTGTGGAACGATGCATGAGAAGAGTCTGGATTGTCCTGAGCGTGGTGTAGGCACTGCTAGCCAACGATCCTGTGATGACCGGAGCGGCCGGGCCGAGACGTAAGCCTTTGCAAGAGGATTCAGGTAGATGGGAGCCGTACCATCTCGGACTTTGTATGCTAGTGTTAGCAATTTGAATTTGATGTGTGTTGCTAGCGGTAGCCAGTGGAGCTCAATGAACAGAGGGGTGACGTGTGCTCTTTTTGGCTGATTGAAGACCAGACGCACCGCTGCGTTCTGGACCATTTGAAGAGGTCTCAGAGTACAGCCTGGAAGACCAGTTAGAAGGGCGTTGCAGTAATCGAGGCGGGAGATGACAGTAGATTGCACCAGGAGCTGGGTGGCATGTTGTGTTAGGTATGGTCTGATCTTTCGTATGTTATACAGCACAAAGCGGCATGAACAAGCAACAGAGGCAACATGATCTTTAAAGGTCAGGTGCTCATCAATCACAACACCCAGATTTCGAACTGCTTTTTGGATATATTCGTGAATAATTACATTTTTGGTTCTTTTTTAAATCACAGATACGTTTTTTCTTTACCTTGCTGATGTTTCGTTTGTGGCTGCAAACATCTTCAGAGCTGACGCTGATGGTGGCATCACTTCCTACTCCGTTTATCAACGGGCCCATGTGCGATCCAATATGTAAACCCCATCATCTCTATTCATGGTCCCACATCCACGTCTTCTTATCTCTATAGCTTCTTTTATCCATCTTTTGAATTTCTGTTGTTCGGTGTTTATGATCCTTGTGTTGTCCCAGTCCATTACATGGTTTTCTCTTGTGCAGTGATCTGTTACGGCTGACTTCTTTATTGTGCTTTCTGCTTCTTCTTTTGCTGCTCTTGTGTGTCTTCGACTTGTTTATTTCTCGCACTCCTTTCTATGTTCTATTGTTCGTGTGTTGAGTTGGCGTCCGGTTTCTCCTACGTATGTTTTATTGCAGAGTTTGCATGGGATTTCGTAAATGTCTCCACACTTAAGTCCAGCTGGTATCTTGTCTTTTGGGTGTGCTAGTCTGTTTCTAACTGTTGTGTATGGTTTTATTGGTGTGTTTATGTTGTGTTTTTTCATTGTTGCTCTTATTTTTTCTGTTATGCCTTTGATGTATGGTAGGGTTATCACTGGTTTTGGTTCTTGTCTTTCTGGGTTTCTCGTTCTTTGCTTTGGTTGTTCTTTTCTTTTTGTTGTTGTTTGTTGTTTTCCTTTGTTTATTGCCCATGTCGGGTGTCCGTTTGTTTATTGCCGATGTCGGAACAAACACAGCAAGAACGCACAAAAGATATTAGTGAATAAGCTTAAAAAAATGCATATTTGTGATGTTTAAAAAATATAATTTCATAAAAAAATACAGAAACACTTAAAATCTTACAATGTAGAAGTGTTAGATTCAGAAACATTTTCTTTGTATTTTTGGCTTCCTGTATCCCATAATTCCTTGTATAGAAGGTTTAGGGTTTTTTTTGTTTTTGTTTTTTTTTGGGGTTTTTTTTTTGGGTAGATGGGAGTTGGAGCGTTAGGAGGCAACACAGTTTTTTGACCGAGTTGTAGCACGATTTGATTTCTTATTAAACCATCTTTTTATAAAGAAGATCATCTGGTATTATTCGCGTGATCACAAATCTAAGTTGCTCGACCAACTTCCAACGGTGACTTAAAGAAGAAAAAGAACCAGAATGCCACCACGTTTTAAGTAAAAAAAACTTGCTTCAGACCGGCATGGTGCAGACTGCAGAGAGACGCAGCAGGTGCGGCACATTGAGGATGTAAAGTTAAGAGCACTGCGCTGCCATGAAGATGCCGGCATTAACAACGGATTATTACTCAAAAGAAGGTAACAAATCCTTTAAATATTTCATGCTGAAGACAGAAAAGGATGTGAGTTGGATGCACGTGAAATTCGGTGGAGAAACGAAAGTAAAACTACTCCGTACGGAGCTGTCGGTCTCTCTTTTTTCTCTCGGTGTCTGCGGACTGCATGCAATGAACACGGGGTCTGATGACGGTCAGTGTGAAGTTTTTGGCCATTTAAAAGAAGCGATGCTACAATATGTCTAACTAGAAGAAACTTTATTTAAAGAGAAGACAAGAGGTGCAGGAAGCTAGGGTCAATAAACTGCATTTGTGAGATGGCTGATCAAAATGAAGGGAGCATGATAGAAGATGAAAGAGAGGAGAGGACATGTAAATGAACGCAAAAGGGGTTGAAAGAGAAATTACACAGATGTATTGACTTAAGAAGACGGACATTAGGAACGATCACAGGAAAAATAAGAGTTAAAAATATTGATGAGTGATTCACAAAATCTTCAAAGTGTGAAAGAAATAATGGAATGTGACTTTGCCCTGGCTCTAAATGAGTTCAGCAACCACAACAATAATGCTGGCAGCCTTTTGTCTGAAGAGGAAAAAATGTGGGGTCAGGATACTTGGTTTGAACCCAAAATGGGAGTTATTAAAGAGTTTATGAAAAATACAAAAAAAAAGTAGATAGCAGAAGATCATAAAAATATGACCCAAAAAGATGTGCTGCAAGAGACAGGGACACTGTGAGAGGACGCTCACACTGCCACACAGAGATTCTAAACATGGTGAAAAGTGACTGTTCCGCTTCACTTGAAAAGAATAATTCAATAGGAAGTAAATCATCTTGTGATCAAGTTCCTATCCAGGAGGAGACCCGTGGGCTCACAGGGGCAGAAGAAGAGGAATGTGTGCTCTCTATTGTACCAGTTAAAATTAAATAGAAAAGAAGTGGGGAGTACATAGAGACATACCCTATTCTAGACCCAGGAATTCAGCACGGCAGCATTCTGCACTGAAGATCTGCAAAAGAGACTGAAAGTCAAAGGAAAGCCTACACGAAAACTTCTAAACACCATGAGTCAAGAAAAGCTAGAAAACCGGAAACAAATAAACAGCTTTGTTAGAAAAGACCTGGAAGTGTGCGGGTTGGGTAAGTTCATTGACTTACCCGAGGTATTTACTCACACAAGCATACCAGTAAGCAATGAAAACATACCCAAACAATCAGATATTCCAAGGTGGTATTATCTGCAAGAAGTGAGGCTACCAGAGATAGAAGCCAATGTGGACCTGCTTATAGGAGCAAACTGTGCAACAATGGAACCATGGCGTGTCATCAATGGACAGAATGGAGCTCCTTACGCCGTGAAAACCACCATTGGCTGGGTTGTGAATGGACCCATAAGGCAGTCCACTTCGGAGGGAAAGTAGACACCATCAGATGTAATATTTTATCGACTCAACGTAACATGGTTTTAGACACATCTGAGAGTGTGTGTCTGGACAGTTTTGTTCTGGTTGAAGCTGAGAGTCTTGATAAAGTTTTCTCCTCAGTGAGGCCCAAACAATCAGACATTCAAAGGCGTTCTTATCTGCAAGAAGTGAGGCTACCGCTCCCTTCAGACGGGGGTCTTTCCTGACGCTTTTAAACAGGCGGTGGTGAGGCCTCTGCTGAAGAAGAACAATTTAATTTTAACGATTTAAACAATTATCGACCAGTATCCAACTTACCATTATTAAGCAAAATTTTAGAAAAGCTTGTTTTAATTCAACTGAATGATTTTATCAACACCCATAATGTCTTTGAAAATTTTCAGTCTGGTTTTAGGGTCAACCACAGCACAGAGACGGCCCTTCTGAAGATTTTAAATGATTTTAGAGTAAATTATGATAAATGGATGGCGACTGTGTTGGTTCTACTGGATCTAAGTGCTGCCTTTGACACAGTAGACCACACTATTCTTTTAACTTGTTTGAAACGGATCGGCCTCTCTGGTGCTGTTCACCAGTGGTTCACCCTACCTCGCAGACAGGAGTTTTATGGTGAGTTTGGATACCTGTTCCTCTAAGGTTCATGGGATTACATGTGGTGTGCCCCAGGGTTCAATTTTAAGCCCAGTGCTTTTTAACCTTTATATGCCCCCTCTTGGCAGTGTCATCAGGAGACATGGGGTGAATCTCCACAGTTACGCTGATGATACACAGTTGTACATCTCTGTGTCTCCTAATAGATGCACTTTTTAATTGAATTTTTGACATCAAATCCTGGATGGCAGAAAACTTTCTCCAGCTCAACCAGGACAAAACTGAAGTTTTAGTTATCGGTCCTGAAGCCCAGAGAGAGAGAAAAT